AACCTGCCTGCTGCTGCTGGTGGCCACCGTGGCCCTGGGGGCTTGCTGTGAGTCGGGGGTGTGGGCACTTCTGGGGCTGGGGGTGGCTGGGCAGCACAAGGAGAGGGAGGCAGCTGCACTGGGGGGGGGTGCCATGGGTGAATGGGGGGGAGAATAGAGGCATACCCACTCACACTGCTGGTGGCTGGGTCCCTCTGCCCTGTCTGCCACAAGCTGGCCTGTATCCCTCGCACATCATGGGTGCCTCCCTTGCCTCCCATCACCCAACTTTCCCACCTTGTTCTCGTTTCTGCTCCTTTCCCTTCCCTTCCAGGCGTTGCCCAGCCTCATATTGCTGCACCCCCCCTGCCCCTGTCCTGCTCTGTCTGCTCCTGCACCCTGTCCTGCCTTGCCCCGCTCTCCCCTGCCAGGTCCTGCCCAGCCCCTGACCATACACTTCCCTGACATGTCTTTCCCATCCTTTCCCATCCTGCATGGACACCCTGCTGCCTTGCCCTGCCCATCCTACCCCCTGAGCAGGGGCAGTCCCGTGTCCCCCTGCCTGGGCTGTCCCACCCCCATGCCCCAGCTCACCCCCCCTGTCCCCAGACTGGCAGGTCACCCGCAGCCTGCAGGACGCCTCCCGTGAGCATGCGGCCGAGCAGGGCCGCCTCTCGCAGGAGGTGAGCGTGCAGGAGCAGAGCCTGGAGCAGACGAAGCTGGAGCTGGCGTGGGCCAGAGCGGAGCTGCAGCAAGCGTGGCGGGAGGGCAACAGCAGCCAGCTGGAGCTGGAGACCCTGAATGCCGAGCTGCGGCGTGTCATGGGCATCCTGGGGAAGATGGAGAAGGAGATGCAGGAGGTGCAGGGGAAGCTCAACAACAGCGAGAACACTGTAGCCATCCTGCGCTCCTGCACAGCTATAGGTAGGGCAATGGTGGAGCAGGGATGGAGTGCCCCAGGGGACTGGCACCCCTCAGCAGGTGCAGTGCCAAAGCATGAGCACTGATTTTTTTGGCCACATGGTGGGGACAGGGTGGTCCAAAGGCTGAAGCTATGCCTGGAGCAGCAGCTGAGCCTGTGATGTCTGCTGGGAAGATGTGGGTCTGTCCCCAGTCTCCGCCAGGGCTTCTGTGGCTAAGCAAGCACCTGAGCCATGCCCCTGCCCCCAGATTGCTGCCCTTCAGGCTGGCTGCTGTACAGGGGCAAGTGCCTCTTCATCTCGTCGGAGAAGAAGACATGGGAGGACAGCAGAGATGAGTGCGAGAAGAAATATTCTCAGCTCCTGGTCACCAAATCCTGGAGTCGCTGGACCGTGCCGGTAGGGTGCTGGGGGAGCTGAGGGCAGGAGCTGGTGCATCCAGCCCTGGGCTCCCCAGGTGGGCCAGCACTGCTCTGGGGGCCCCTGGCCTGCCGAAACATTGGATGGTGCAAGGCTAATCTTTGGAGCACGTGGCTGGTGGTGGACACGGGGCAGAGAGGCTCTGGCACCCTTGGATGCTGCCCAAGCTGGAGCAGGGAACCAGGGCTGCTCAGCTGTCCTGCCCCAAGGAGCTCCAGCCCCAGGGGCTCCTTGGGGAGACAACCACCCCCTGCAAACACTGCAGCACATAGGTACTATGGAAAAGCCCCTAAAAGGCCCTTTATCTCCTTCCCTAGACCTTCTTGAAGAATGCGGACATCCCATACTGGATCGGGCTGCAAAAGAGCAGCTTTCCCTGGTATGATTATGGCTGGCTGGAGGAAGAGGACCCGGATGGCGAGGGGGTCTCGGACGCCTGGTTCTGGGTGGATGGCTCCCTTTACGAAAGGTACCCGGCAGCACAGCCTCTTGCTGAAACCCCCTCTCTTCCAGCACAGCTTTAGGAAGCGTTTTAAATCCCACCGGTACCCAATCCTAGGCACAAGCACTGGGCAACAAAGAGCATCAAAGCAGCTGAGGCTGAGGGGAGGTGGGTGCAGTGGTGTGATGAGATGCTTAGAGGCTGTGCAAACGAAAAGCCGAGGCTTGGGGGGCCACGTGCAGGGCATGCACAAGCAGGAGGCAGCGAGAGGGGACAAAAGAAACCGCAAGTTTTATTTGGGGTCTAGAGAAAGCGTTCGAGCACCACATCTATCCCTCACGTGCCTCCCTGGTCCCTCCTCGAGGGGAAAAAAAGCCTTCCGTTCTGCAGAGGGTCCCGGGCTCCTCCCCGCCACGTGCACCTCTTCCCCAGCTCACCACTGCTTCCTCTTGCGGTGTCTGAGAGCAGTGGGGAGGAACAGACCCGTCTGGCTGGGTGCTGGGTACCCAATCCCTGCCCACTGCCTGCCCCTCCATCCTCAGCCCCACCGTGGGGGGCTGCACCCCACCACGGCCCCATGGCCCAGGGCAGCTCCTCTGGCAATCCACATGCCTTCAGGGAGGACCGGGCTCTCCCCACTGCCAGGCGCTGCAGGGGTGAGATATCCCCCAGCAGCGAGGCTGAGATTCAAGCAGGGGGGAGGCTAAGAGGAGTCGCAAGTGATGCAAACCTTTTGCAGAGGGGTTTCTCAGCCTGCCTGAGGAAGGGCAGGGATGCATCGGCTGAGGCTTCAGCCTGTGAAATCAGAAGGGGAGGACTGGGGGATCCCCCCTTTGACTGCAGCATTCAACCCCTCCTGTGCAAGCGTACAAGAGGCAGCCATCAGCAGCCATGGCTGCCTCAGCAGGGGGTAGCGGGGCGGTGGCAGCCCCCTGATGTGTCGTTTTCCCATCCAGACCATGGCAGTCGAAGTCGAATGGGTCCTGTGCCATAATAAGCCGTGGGAACATCAAACCTGCCCAGTGCACCAGTCCTGACGACCTGCACCTCTGGATCTGTGAGAAGGCGGCGGGGCCAAGCTCCCCTTTCATCCCATGATGGCCGCTGACCCCAGCACTGCTGCGGTGAGTGTGTCCACGCTAGGGTCTGCCGAGCACTGGGGTGCACGGGGCCTGTGGGGTGTGCGAGGAGGAAAGTGGGGAGCCTGGGCATCTGTGTGGGGCACGCTGACCCCTTCCCTTGGAAAGGGAGAGGGATGCAGGCACCTCCCTGTGCTGGATAGCGCCTGCCTCCATCCCTTTGCTGCCATGGTAGCCCCTGGTCTGCGGTAGCTCAAGAGTCGCTCCCAAGCTGTAGGGCAGCAAAGGGGCAAGATGGGGGAAACCCCTTTGCAAGCTGCCTTCCCAGCCCCGCTGCGTGTGGTGGAGGCTGGGCAGCACCTCACCCTCTGCCTTCCCTTGCAGCACCTGCACCCCGCACCGCCTCCGCTTCAGCCTTGCTGCACCCCTGCCCGGGATGTCCCAGCCATGCAGGCAACCCCCTTCCCTCTCACAGACCCCTGCCCATGGGCTGCCCAGGTCCTTCTCAGCGATGCCCGGTGATGCTCCGGCATCACGCAGGCTGGGGGAGGCGGTGGCAGTGGCCGTTTCCCCCCAGCTGATGTGCTTCAGCAGAGCGGTACGGGTCCCACGGCTCAGCCCCACACCTGCGTGGGGTACGCTGTGTCTTCCTGAGCACAGGGGCTGGTGTGCAATGGGCAGCCCGGACCCAGCCACAGAGCGCAGCAAGGCGTGATGCTCAGCACCGCAGCCATGCAACATCCCCAGCACGGAGCGAGCTGCGGTGCTGGCATGCGAGGACATGGGAGTAGGGGACGGCACAGCCCCACACCTGGCCAGGTCCCCTCCCCACAGCAGGAACTTTGCGCCTGGCCCCATCCCAGGAGCAGCTTGGCCACAGCTTTCAGGCAACCCAGCAAACAACAGCCTCAGCAAAGCCTCAGCGCCCAAAGAGGGAAGCTGCACCTGAATCGGACGGTGCCTGTGCTGGCGGTTGGGTTTTTTTGCTAATTAGAAAGTAGAGCAATGACCTTAAGGATTGTACAATGTGGTGGTGCCTTTCAAAAGCAAAAGCAGCTCTGGCACTTGCAGTGGACTGATGCTTTGCGAGACAAGTCATCAGGACTTTAAATAGTTACTACACACGTGCACATGCGAAGATTAAGCAAAATAGCCCTGATGTAACATTGCAGCCAGGCAAGAGCAGAGGAAGTCATGTTCAACCAGGCGAAGATGTTCTCAGTTTATTATGGGGTCATGTGTGCCATATATAGTTGATTAATTGCTATGTGAATTAGCTTGCTTGAAGAGCAAAAGGGCATTTAAAGGCAGGCTTTTTGGAGGTGGCACATGTCACTTCTCTGTCTTGTCCGCTTGCTGAACTCACTCTGTAGCAATAAAGAGACGTAGCTTGTCTGCTCTTTGCTTTCTTGTGTACCACCACAAACACGGACTCAAGGGCATGAACCCGAAGAACCTAAATAATAAATGGGAATTTGGCTGAAGCCATTTCAACCAAGATGGCCACTTTGGGGGCAATGAGATGGCTGAGCCAGGCTGGCTTGTGGTTCCCGAGGGGGTTCCCAGAAGCCCCAGGCAAGCCCGTGCAACCTTCTGGGGTCGGGCTCCCCTCCACGTCCGACATGCATCCAAGAGACAGAAGTGGCAGCCCGAGTCGCTGGGACATTCAGATTTTATTGAACACTTTAAATAAGCTGGGTATATATTACTAGCAATTATTATTATTAATAATAAAAAACACAAGAGTTCTGCATTCACCAGTGCATTGTGCGGGAGGGAGGAAAGCCGGCTCCCACCCTTGCCAGGTGCCAGGCAGCCTGGCCGTGCTGTCCACCGGCCCCTTCCCCCCGGTGCCAGGATAGCACCCCGGCCCCTCTGCCAGCACCCCGCTCCCGACCCCGTGTGCTGGGGGGACACGGGGCGCCGTACCAGCTCAGCACCCAGCCCTCAGCGTTGGGTGGGCAGGGGCAACCCCAGTGCTGGCAATCCTCCCCGAGCGCTGCCCCACGGGCACCGCCCCTCTCCCGGCCCCCCTGCACGCCTCTCCCTGTGTCAGGGACTGGCTGTGCTCCCCACGCTTGTAGGGAAGCACTGGGACACCCAGCCCCACAGGGTCCCCCAAAACACACATACACACACTGACCCCTCTGCCCTCAGCCCAGCCCCGCTCCCCCCCTGGCCTGGGGGGCTGCGGGGGGCTCCTAGTTCTCCCGGGAGAGCAGGCTCATTGCACACCCCTCTGTGAGAGCCCAGAGAGGGGTGAGCCCTTGGGGAAAGAGGGTCCCGCATCCAGGGTGTGAACCCCGGGAGCCCCATGGGAGACCAGCCCTGCTGCCCAGGGCAATGCTGGAGCGTGCCCGGGGCAGGGGCGTTATTGCACTTCAGTCCTTGGCAGGGACCCAGCCCACACCCGGGGCTCCCCGCAGACCCCTCAGGCTGATCCCGGCGGGACAGGTGCCCAAGCGCCTGGGCAGCGCCATGGCGGCCACGGCATGGGGCATCAGCGCCACTGCAGCCACCAAGCGCCGAGCGAGGACGGACCACAGGGACAGGCTGGGCCCCCACACCTGCTTGGCGCTGCGGCTGCAGGGGGGTCCGAGGGGCAGCTGGACGCAGCCCCACTCCCCAGGGGTCCCCGGCACTAGGACTGCGCCTCCGGCAGCTTCAGGCTGGGCTCCGCTAGTACTGGCCCCGGGGCCTTCTGGTGGTGGCCCCGGTCGTGGCAGAGGAGGCTCTTGGCCTCACAGTTGAGGTTCTGGTAGCGAGGCGGGCTGGGTGCCGGCCGGTGGCAGACGGAGGCGAAACTGAAGCTGAAGGGACCCAGGCAGCAGCCAGGGCAGGGCAGCACCTCGTCCTGCTCCAGCACGGCACTGGAGCCGTGCCCGGGCAGCATGGCTGTGCGCTCCGTCCGCTCCAGCGCCACAGCGCAGGGGATGCTGAGCTCGGAGAAGCCGTGCTCCAGCCCGCTGCCCCAAGCCAGGGGTTTGCTGACCACCACGTGGTTGTTGTTGAAGAGGAGCCCGTTGGGGACTCGCGGCTCCGGCTGCCAGGATTGGGCGCCCGAGGACGCTGTGCGGATGAAGTTGCTGTTGGGGGGCGGCAGGGAGGGCTGCGGCACCTCAGGGCTGTCGGGGCCGCAGTCCATCTGCTCCTCCACTCTGGGGCTGCGGGGGGAGCCTTGTCCCCAGGCTGGGGGAGGAAGGAGGTTGGGGGGCTGGGGGTTGATGGCGGGACGAGGGAACCCCACGCCCAGTGCCAGGCCCCCCTGGCGGGGCAGCTCGGGGGAGGCAGGCAGCGAGGGGCCCTTCGCACGAGGGAACCCCACGCCCAGTGCCAGGCCCCCCTGGCGGGGCAGCTCGGGGGAGGCAGGCAGCGAGTGGCACTTGCGGGGCGTGGTGGCAGGGGCCGAGAAGTCACACTGCACCTCCACGGCAGGCTCAGGCGTCACGGGGGTGCTGAGCTGGAGCGGGGCGGGGGGCGGCAGATCAAAGGTGAGCGAGATGACCGACTTGCTCGGCGTGTCGAAGAGCTTGATCTTCCCCCCCTTCAGGTCCTCGCGCTGGGAGAAGGGGTTGACGCGGTGGGGCGTCTCCTTGGTCCTGGCCCCGCCGTAAGGCTCCACGGGCCACAGCAGGACAGGCGATTTGGGGGGGAACATGTCGGACTGGCTGCGGGACAGGCGCTGGTCCGGCTGCAGGTGCTGTGTCCCCAGCTCACGCAGGGGCGACTGCTCGGCACGGCCAGCCGCCCTCCCAGCTACCCCTGGGCATGGGCACAGGAGCGGGTCACCAGCTGCCAGCAGCTGCTGATGTGGGGTGCCACGGGGTGCTGGGCACCCAACAACCCAGGGGCGCACCCCGAGGGGGGTAACAGTGACCGGCTCCATCCTGCAGACCTCATGCAACCCCTGTCTCCTTCCCCTACAGCTGCCGGGGTAGGATGGGACACCCCACATCCCCCCTCCTTGCACCCCTCTATGGCCTGTCCCCGGGGTGCCCACGTACCGTTGAGCGTGGCCGCCATCCCAGGCGCGGGCAGGCTCTCCCCACCACCGAAGAGGGTGGCCCCGGCGCCCTCGGCACCCGGCTGGTGCTGCAGGACCCCCTCCAGGCACTGCGTGATCTCCAGGAACGAGGGGCGGGAGGTGGGCTCCATCTGTGGGCAGGAGGGGTTACCCATCAGGTCTGCAGCCCCCCAAGCACCCCAGGGAGGCCTGACCAGCAAAGGCAGCTCCCTGCCTGTCCCCCCTTGTGCAGGCAAGGCTGCCTGTCCTGCCCCGCTGCCCCGGCGGGGAAGGGCAGCGGGGATGGGAGGCTCACACTGCAGCAGTGGAAAGCAAGCTGGAGGAAGGCCGCTGGGCAGTCGATCCCCACCATGGTGCGGAAAGTGGTGACGTCCAGACCAAAATCCTGTGCCAGGGAAACAAGGAAGAATGAGGCTGGGTCCCCTAGGGCACCACACAGCCCAGGGGACCTGGGATGGCCTTGCCTCCCCTCCCCGCACTGACTGCGGGCCACCCAGGGCTGTGGATGTGGCAGCACCCCGGCTGAGGCACAGCAAGGGGAGACCCTAGGGTCACCCCAAGTTGGGGCAAGGCTGAGGGATGCCGGGACACAGATCCCTCCTGCTCTCTGCCTGAATCCAACTGTCCCCTTCTCCCACCCAGGCCGACTATGGGATCCGAGGACAGGTTATCGGCAGAGAGCATCCCTCCCCGTACAGCATTTGGGACACAGCACCCCTACCCCGAGCTGCAGGGCAGCTCCTGCACACAGGGCTCTGCCCAGCATGGGAGGATGGTCCCCCTCATTTGGTGAAGCAGTCCCAGCCCCAATGCTGCTGCCTGCCACCCTCCCTCCCCATCCCCGTCCCAGGGAGTCACCTCGGTGCGGGGCAGGTAGTCAGGGTCAGCGGGGACACGAGCAATGGTCTCGCATAGGATGATGCCGTACGCGAACACATCGGCCTGCAGAGAGCAGGGAGTCATGGGGGGGGCCCTGCAGCCCTGAGGCAACATGCCCACCATCCTGTGAACCCATAGCCCCCCTCCTTCCTGTGGAGCCACACCGGGAGCCCTGCCACCTCACCACCCGGGGGATGCCCAGTTCCTTCCCTCTGTGTGCCCAAATGCCTCCAGGGCTGCAAATCCTGCAAACCGCTGGCAGCACAAGCCTGGATAAAGCCCCACATGTGGCAGCCATGCAGCCTCACCTTCTCGTTGTAGATCTCCCCTCGCAGCACCTCGGGCGCCATCCAGTACGGGGAGCCCACCACGGCCAGCGGCTCCTTCTCACCGCCCTCGCTGGGAGACATGGTGGGACATCAGGGGCTGCCCACAGTTCCCTGTCCCTGTCCAACCTCCCATCTTCCCACTGGGGCAGCCCAAATCACCATCTCCATCTCCATCTCCCTTCCTGGGCTAATTGTCCTCCATGTACCCCACAAACTCATCTCTGCCCATCCACACCATCCCCTCCTAGCCAGCCCCAAATGTGTCCATCTGCCCCACGAGTCCCCACTGCCAGGGACCACCCCCACAGCCCCCCATCCCTGCCCTTCTAGCTGCATCCCGAAAGTCCATCCCTCCCCAGCTCCTGCTCCAAGTGGGCTGGAAACCCCCCAACTCCAAGGATGGGGACGGACGGGTGGACGCTGCCCACGCACCTATAGGTGGGGATCTTCTCCGCCAAGCCGAAGTCACCCACTACAGCTGTGTAGCCATTGGCCTCGCAGCGCACCAGGCAGTTCTGGGGGCACAGGAGGACCCCTGTCACACCAACTGCACCAGCCCTGCCTCACTGGCCACCGCTCCTGGGATGCCCCAGCACAGTGCAGCCTCCTGCTCCCCAGCTGGCCATGCTTGGGGCAGCAACGTGGGTATGGGATGAGGGCAATGGGATGCCTTGGAGCATCCCATACCTTAGAGGTGAGGTCACGGTGGAAGATGCCCTTGGAGTGCAGGTAGCGCAAGCCACGGGCGATGTCGAGGGCCAGCTTGACACGCATGGACCAGGAGAGGGGCACAGGGCTGTCCAGCAGCTGCTCCAGGTTCCCACCGTTGATGTACTGATGGGAAGAGCCGGGCCATCGCATCACTGTGCCCCCCCTCCCTTCCATAATGCTGGATGCTCACCTCTTATCCCAACGCATCCCCCAACCACCCCACGGCACAGCCCCCCAGTAGACCTTGCCCGGCACATGTGCCACGGGCCGAGAAAGTGTCCCCATAGCCATCGCTGTCCCCTCCCCAGGCCTGCAGGAACCCTGAGACTCACGGCCATTGCCCCGCTCTCACCTCCGTCAGCGCGTGCAGCTGTCCCTCGTGCACGCACACCCCCATGAACCTGTGAGACAGAGGGGACCTGAGTGTGGCCGCAGCAGGGACCAGCCCCAGGAGCTCATCCAGCACCAGCAGTAGCCCCAACCCTCCCCAGGCTAGAGAAAAGGGGGGCAACGGGGATGGCAGCGGGGGAACAGGTCCTACCTGAGGATGTTGGGGTGCGAGAGGCGGTTCATCAGCTGCACCTCCCGCAGCATGTTGCCCCGGTTGCTGGTCAGCTTGTTCATCTTCAGCACCATGATCTGCCCTGACTGGCGGTGCCGCACCTGGAGGGGGGTGCAGGGGAGGCTGAGTCCCACATATCCCCGCAGCCCCCCTGGACACCAGCCTGCACCTGGTACACACCCCAGCCCAAGAGGTAGGAGCTGTGCACCCCACACACCCGAGGCATGGGGCACCCTAGGGACTGCTAGGGCTAAGGGGGCTCTCCAGGCACAGCAGCACCCCAAGGACCCCCAGTGTCGATGACGCACACCCCCATCCGCCCCGGGGCACCCTGCTTGTCGTGCTCCCCCCACCACGCTACACTGCCCAGCCCTCCCGGAGAGGCAACGGCAGCTCCTGCAAGCTGTGACCCCAGCCCTGCTGCAAGAACAGGCAGGTGCGGGATTGCGGCGCACCAGAGCAGGCTTTTTCGGGTCAGTACCACCCAGACAGACCCCACCAGCATGGGGTGGAGAACAGAGGGGGCACACTGCCCCCCGAACTAGCCCTGGGGGTGACCAACGCTGCCCCGATGCATGACCCCAGCCTGGCGGGGCATGGCGCTGGGACGAGGCTGTATATTTAGCCGTCCCCAGCCCCATGCTGTCATGCGAGCTGGGGGCCTGGCCCCCTGCCAAGAACAGCAGCTGGGAGCGCCGCCAAGCATGGACACCCCCGTCCTTCTGCAGCCCCCTAGCACGTGCAGGGTGGAGGATGAGCAGGGGATCCCCTGCCCCAGCACCGGGCTGTGGGGGCCGAACCGGTGCCGAGGGTCCCCTCCTGAGTGGGTGCTGGGGGTGTGGGATGGGACCCCCCCAGAGCAGCAGCCGGTGGCGGGCACAACCTGGTGGATCCCGGCTGCTCCCCAGCACACACCGAGCTGTGCACGGAGGCACAGGCATTCCTCAGCGCTGCTGTCAGCTCCCTGCTCTTCTCCTTTTTAGTCGATGCTGGTTGAGGCTGCTGTGCCGGCGCCAGTCCCTGGCCCGCCCCACACCCCCCTCGCCTCAGGGATTGCCTCCCTGGGCAAAACACGGGGGACCGGCTGGAGGCAGGGTCCCCAGTGCCCCTCATTCTGCTCGCAGCTTGGCCCCTGTCCCCATCACAACGGGGGGGGGGCTGGTGTACTGGGCCCTCTGGGGCTCTCTTCCCACCCCATGGCTGGCATTGCTTAGGGTTGTCCTGGTGTGCATGCTGAGATGGGGACCCATCCAGCACCCAATATGCAGGGGATGGGCAGCAGCTCCCCCCCACCAAAGGGCCTGGGGGGAAATTAGTGCTTTATAATGATCCCTCTACATGACTGGGTGCACCAAGGCCAAACCAGCCCCAGGCAGAGTGGAAACGAGGGGCAATAGCCTGGCCCAACCCCGCTGTGCCACCACCAGCTCATTGAGTTCACTGAGAAGATCTGAATAATTCAGCAGCTGCCTGCCCGTGGACACCCCACTCCGGTTACACCTGCATCACCTCCAGCCAGCTCCAGCCAGCCAGCCGGGTCCCCTGGCCCGTGGGCAGGGGCCACGTGGCAGCAGAGATCAGGATGGACCCTGGACGAGTGAGGAGGGAACACCCAAGACACCTGCCACCATGGGTCCCCATCTCGGCCCCCCACCACACTGGGGGGAAAAGGGAGGATGGGTTCCCCCATGCCTTCTCCTCCCTGAGCACCAGACAAAACGCCTGGGCTCGAGGAGAGACCAGCCCAGGTGACAGTCCCTGCTGTGGGGAGCGCGGCTCCTCCAGCCCTGTGCGCACCCAGGGCTCCCCATCTAATGGCACCCCACGTCCTCCCTGTGCCCACCACCCTGCTCAGCCCACCCCATCACCTGCAGTGCCTGGCACTGCTGCCACTCCCATCATGGTGCCCGGGGACTCCCTGCCACACCTGCACCAGCAGGCAGGGCAAGGGGCACCCCCACCTCATCCCCACCATCACTGCCTTCCCTCCACCCCATCCCTGTGCGTGGGGCAGCTGGAGGCAGCACCAGACACAGAAATGGGGCTCCCAGCCTGGCTTCAGTGGCTGTGCGGGCTTTAAGGAGGGGACCTGCCTGGCCAAAGCAGGATGGGCAGGGTCTCCCTTTGCCCCTCCAGCTCCTTGCAGAGTCAGGGGCCAAGGGAGCCGGAGCCCAGATGAGGCCAGTGGGACCCCCCAGCCCCGCCAAGTCCCTGGTGCTGGGTGCTGCCCAGCAAAGCCCAGTGCTCCTGACCCAGGTCGCCTGGTGGCAGCACTGTCTTCCCTTCCCACACCGCGTGGGGCTGGCGGGATGGGCGCGGTTGGTTTGGCTGACACCGGCAGCTGCCAGGCACCAGGACCCGGCTTGATGGCGCAGGCAGGCTTGGTCCTGCAGGGATGGCTGTGGGCAGCGAGGCTCCAGCGCCACGCACCCATGATGGGAATGCTGGGCAGCATGCACAGTGCTGGCACTCGGTGGCCATGCACCATGGGGCTGGCTGGGTACCCATCATCAGCAGCGTCCCTACATCAGGGAGCAGCCCTTCGCGGGCACTGGCTCAGCCCCACGTAACTGTGATGTGCCCATGGCTTAATTCCTCATTAATAAGCCTCCTGCCATTGCAATAGGCTGGGTCAGGCCCGAGTGCAGCCATATGGCACCTAACGCCTTAATCCTGGAGGAGAGGTAGCCTGCGGGAGGGAAGGTCCAGTGAAAGCTCCTTCCCTGGGATTTCTCCCAGGGACCCCAGGAGCCTCCAGCCAGCACAGCCCTGCCCCAGTGCTCTGCTCCAGGACTCCGTCCCCAGGGGCAGGGAGGGCTCCAGGGAGTCCCAGGACAGCCCCTGCCCCATGCACACCGGGGACGACCTCCTCGAGGGCATCCACCGCCCTGAGCTTGCTTGCAAGGCCCCATCCTGCTGTCTCCCCTGCAAGATCTGCGGCTTGAGGCCAGCCCCTGCCGGGGCTGGCAGGGAAGGGGTTATGCTCCCTTGGGCTTCCCACTGGCCTCCCACATGTCAGCCAGTTTACCCAGTCCAGCCAGGTGCTAGCACCAGCCCAGCACCCCAGCCGCCCTCCGGAAGCAGGCATAGCAGAAGAGGGAGCAAGCCACGACCCCGTGCCGGATGCAGCCCCTTGCTAAGAGTGTTTCCTTCCCCGACGCTATCCGGGGAAGGCAGCAGGCAGCAGAGCCTCCCTGGGCAGGATGGTGTCCCCCCTCGCCTCTCCATGCTCTGGCATGGTGCCCAGGAATCCCAGCACATTCCCCGGAGCTGAGCTCAGCTGGGCAGCCGCACTGGGGTGCGGGGGGAGGACAAGCCGCCGGCCCCCACCCAGGAACCAGGCAAGCCCTCGCCCCTCGCCAATGGCCCCCAGCACCCCACATGGCCCCTCCACTGCGTGCTTCGCTGGGCACCATGGCTGAGCCGGGGTGCCGTGGCGTGTTGGTCCCCATCCCATCTGTTGCCAGCACGTGGGGATGGGGGATGGGACAGGGCTGGCTGCGGCCCCAGCCTGGGCACAAGGGATCTGAGCTCTTTTAACAGCGAAAATTACAGTCTTATTTAAAGAGCATGCTAATCAGAGCGAGCAGACAGCCTGCTTCCTCCCTGCAGCCGGTGCTCCTGTCTAGACATGGGATGAAGGCCCCCCACTAGTCCCCCCACTTGGGGGTCTCAGCAGCCAGCCCCCCTGCACCCCATGCCGGGGACAGACTCGCACATCACCTCACTCAGGGCACATCCCCTTGCACCAGCCCAGCGCAGGCAAGGCACAGTCACACAGGGACATCATCCTGCACCCCTTGCCCTGGGGAGACCAGTGGGGAAAGACAGGAGGGCAGGTAAGGAAGCTAGCAACGCCACTGGTAATCCCATAGCCGCCCGTGACAGCTGTGTCTGAGCTCACGGGAATCCCAGTAGCGCAACAGGACTTTTACTGGGTGGGACTGGAAAATCTGCTCATCACGTGGAAAAGGCGGAATCGGTCAAGACAGACTTCCTCCAGGGAAGCGAAAGCAGCAGGGCACGCAGCACCCACTCCCGATGAATGCACCTCACCTCCCGCACTCCCAGGTACAGGACCGTGGGCACGTCGGGAGCCGGGGCATCGCCAGCCGTCACAGGCAATCCTGGAGCATGCCCCATGACAGCGCAGGAGAGGTGCCGGCGGGTCCCAGGCTAGTCAGCACAACGCGTTTCCAGCACCCGGGGCTCCCGAGCGGTGACAGCGGGGCCAGGGCTGCTCTCCGCCTCGCGGCGGCTGGCTGACCTCAGCAAATTCACTTCCTCCCTGCCTGCCTTAGTTTCCCCATCTATGTCATGCCGCTCCACCCTCCTTTGTAAAACAAGGCAAGGTCCACCGATGCAGTGCAGCAGATAAGAGGGAGGGAGTTGTGTCATTAGTTGCATTGGTAAATTGGGAGTAAATACAAAATCTCAAAGGTTGGTGGGTAAGTGAGCAGAGATGGGCAGGCAGCAGTGGTGCCGAAGCCCTCTCCCCAGCTCTGTCCACGCTGGGAGCCGCGACCTGCCCCCCCCCCCCGGCCCCACGGAAAAGGGGGGCGGGACAACCCAGGAGAGCGAAGCCAGGATGCTGCCCGCAGCCCCCGCGTCTCTGCTGCAGAGCACACAGGAAAGGAAGAGAGGGATTTGGGGAAGAGATGCAACAGTGGTTTAAGGGCTGGAGAAAATGTCTGGCACAAACACACCCGGCTCAATCTGCTCAGTCTATTGGAGATGGAGAGGCAGCTCGCTGCAATGTCCGTGTACCTGAGAAAACGGGTGGGCCCACCATGGAAATGGGGCGCTGGCACACCAAATGGCTATGCCCTGGCAGGCAGCGTCTCCAAGAGGATGTGCGACAGTGGGGCATAAGCTGCAGAGTAGGATGAGCAAAGACATCCGGATACAGCCCCCAGGAGAGCGAAGCCAGGATGCTGCCCGCAGCCCCCGCGTCTGCTGCAGACCGCACACAGGAAAGTAAGAGAGGGATTTGGGGAAGAGATGCAACAGTGGTTTAAGGGCTGGAGAAAATGTCTGGCACAAACACACCCGGCTCAATCTGCTCAGTCTATTGGAGATGGAGAGGCAGCTCGCTGCAATGTCCGTGTACCTGAGAA